AGGTAATGAGGTTGAGAAGAAGATGAAGGAAGGAAGGATTGGAGGAGGAAGAGGAGGAGGTTGATGAAGGGAGGAGAGGGAAGGGCAGGAGGAGGAGGAGGATGAAGGGAGGAGAGGGAAGGGCAGGAGGAGGAGGAGGATGAAGGGAGGAGAGGGATGGGCAGGAGGAGGAGGAGGTTGATGAAGGGAGGAGAGGGAAGGGCAGGAGGAGGAGGAGGTTGATGAAGGGAGGAGAGGGAAGGGCAGGAGGAGGAGGAGGAGGATGAAGGGAGGAGAGGGAAGGGCAGGAGGAGAAGATTGAGGAAGGAAAGGAAGTAGAAAAAGAAGGGAAAAGGCAATAAGGACAGTGAGGGAAAAATAGAGGAGTAAGAATGAAAGAAGAGAATGGTGAGTGAAGGAAGGAAATAGGAGAAAGAAAGACTGGGGGAGAAGGCTGAGGAAGGGAAGGAAGTAGAAGAAAAGGGAAGAGGCAAGAAGGACAAGGAGGGAAAGAGAGAGGAGAGGGAAAGGCAAGGGGAGGAGGAGGGAAGGGGAGAGGGAGGGGGAAGATTGAGAGAAAGAGAAAGTGAAGGAAAGAGAAGGACTGACATGGAGGAAATGAAAGAGAGAAAGATGAGAAGGAAAAAGAGGAAAGGAATGAGAAGAGGATGGAAGGGATAAAGTAGGGGAAGAAGACTAGCAAGAAATTCTCTAATAGGAAGAATTGTAGTCATAAGGCAAAAGGGGGGAGGAGGGAGAGCATGGGAGGAAGAAGAAAGGTGAAAGAGTCAGAAGGAAATGGAAAAGATGAGGGAGGAGAAGAAAGGAATAGGAGAAGGAAGGCAATTGATATAAGTTCCTCATTGCCAGAAAGAAAGGTGAGAGGGAAGGAAGGAGGGAAGGAAAAGGTAGGTGAGAGGGGTAATGAAAGAAAGAAGAGAAAGAGCGAAGGAAGGAGGGTGACAGGGAAAGGTATATATAATGACTAAAAGAGAGAGACAGACAGACAGACAGACAGAGGAAAAGATACATACATCATTAACCCAGGCTTGACCAAGGATGCTGCAATGGGATGAGGAAAGTGTTAAGGTTTTTAGTTCTTTGCCATTTTCCAATATCCATAAATGTCCTTTGATATGGACTGTTTTCCTTGCACAGACTCTATATCATCTCACTAAGTAGTCCATAACTTCATACAAGAATGATAACAATAAGTACTATTTTGTTACTGTTTTTTTTTTTTTTTTTTTTTTTTTTTTTTTTTTTTTTTATATATATATAATATTAAATTTTCTGAAATACAACCTAAGTATGGAAATAGCATCCTCAGTGGGGCTCCTCCAGTCATGGCTCACAGACAGTACAGTTCTACCCTCATTTATCAATAGAAATAATGCAAAAAGCTCCTTCCTGCACCAAATGAGTCTAATCACCCTCCAAGAGGTTTGTGCAGTCGTGGCGAGTCATTCCTGTCACCCTGGCCTTCAGCTGAAATGCACAGCGGCAAGTTCATGTAACCCTAGCCCACAGCAAAATTTTCCCCGTGACGGCATTTTCGCGTCACCCATCCCTCGAGCCAGATTTTTTTCGTGCGTGACGGTCGTGTTATACAGATCGTAGTAGGGGTTAATACAGATAGATATGAATTTGAATATAAATACATACAAAAATTATAAGCATGAATTAAATTGAGCATAGACATGATCAAATACAGACAAGCGTAGAGAAGTGCACAGAGGAATTAACAATCTCTCCTTTCAGCGAAGGGGGGGTGTCGTCAGGTCAGGAAGTCGTGGCCCAGGTCAAAGCAGTTCACAACCTTTGTGCTCTACAAGGAGAACGTTGACACCATTGTTGCCATCAACCTCATCGCCTATAAGATCAGGTCGGCAGATGCTCTTTGGTTGGTTGTTTGGTTTTATTTTTTATTTATTTATTTATTTTATTTTTTTATTCATCTATTTATTTTATTTTTTATTTATTTTTTTCAGTGTAATTTTATGCTGAAGAATGTCAGTTTTCAACACTTCATTGAATTATTTACATTATGATTGTTATTGTTTTTGTTATTATTGTTATACTAATAACAATAACAACAACATTAATAATAATAACAATAATAATAATAATAATGATGATATTATTATTATTATTATTATTATTATTATTATTATTATTATTACTGTTACTATTATTACTGTTATTATTAGTAGTAGTATCATTAGTATCATTATCATTATCATTAATATTATCATTACTATTAATTTTATTAATAATAATAATGATAAAAATAATGATAATAATAATAATTATAAAAACTAATGATAATAATAATAATTATAAAAACTAATGATAAAAAAATAATAATAATGATAATAATATCATCATCAGTATTATTGTTGTTATTGTTATTATTGTTGTTATTATTGTTATTAGTATTAATCATTGTTATTATTATCATTATTAAATCTGGTATTATTATAATCATTATTGTTTTAATATTAGTAATTCTGACATTAAG